ATGGCTATGACAGCATCTCGCTGAGTACAAGGTTTATTTGGAGGGAAAAGAAGGCAAAAGTGCAGCGGAACTGCGTGTTTGTTTGAATGAACGGGCCTTTGACTACTATTTCCACCGTCAATGTTTAATGGGAATCTCTCGCTGAACGCTCTCAACTCCTGCGGTGTATATTCGGAGTGGATATACTGCCGCTCAGCTTCCCATTCAAAACCGTTTTTTTTGTGTGTGTGTGTGTGTGTGTGTGTGTGTGTGTGAGACACTGCATACTTGATTCTTCAGGTCAACAACGCCAAAATGCACCGCAAAGCTTATCTGGAAGACAGAAAAAGTCCAATTCAGACTTCCCTTGTCTCGACTTTTTGTGGATTATTATGAGGGAATCTAACCTTTGTTCTTCTTTTTTTGCTTAGTTATACGCGTCCCAAACACATTTACAGTAAATTGACCAAAAAACATTTTGTACAGCATAGGTTTCAAACTCAAGGCCCGCGGGCCAGATCTGACCCACCAGATCATTTCATGTGGCCCGCGAAAGCAAATCAAATATGTCAACTTTCGTGATGCTTGCTAAAATCTCCACCAAAATTTCAAATTGTCATTTGTAATCAGTAAGAGCGATACTGTCAGCCTTTTCTTGTTACCAAAACGCTCATGACAGTAACGTAAACAATAGTTGAATAAACCGTCATTCTTGACTTCTTTATATGGTTTGTCATAACGGCCCTCCAAAGGGAAACGGTAACTAAAATAAGGCCCGCGACAAAAATGAGTTTGACACCCCTGTGTTAAAGTATTCCTTTGTCAAAAAATCTGATTTACATCTCTTCATAAACACATTAGCTAAACCCCAGTGGAACGGAAAAAGACACCGTGGACGAGACTATTATTGTCGTAGAAAAATATATTTGGACAGAAAAAAGGAAAAACACACAGATTACCAATGAGAGCTTGTCCGTCCGACCTCGAGCGTCGTGTCGTCTTGTCCTAGCTTAGCTGTTGTCTCGGCTAGGCTAGCTTAGCTGTTGTCCAAGATCAAAGCTCTTTGATCTGTAACGTCCGTTGCGTCTGTGCTGTTTGGTTGAAGCCAAAAGACGCGCTCATGCATACATGTCCGCGCTGACGCACGCACAGCAGAGCAGCGGACTATCGACTGCTGAGTCGCGCTTCGCTCGAGTGGCGTCGCTACAAGCCTTGCAAACCTAAATTACGTAGTCAAGCTGGACCACGCATACTCAAAGGAAAATACTTAACAACTATTTCAGTTTAGATTGCAGTTGACACATTTAAATGTGGAAGATGCGCAACTGTAAAGGCTCTTTGGATTTGTCTGTATACTGTAGAAACCCATAAACGCTTAAAAATGGCAGCGTTAGCGGGTGCTTGAATAGTCAATTGCGATATAGCGGGGACTTCACCGGAGTGTATTTGTCTGGCACCCTCAAATAATTTGTCTTCCGGGCCAACACTTTGTCCTTGAGGTCCACGCCAGAACGTCTGGCTCCCCGCGGTGCGAGGAAAGCTTCCAAATTGACATCCGGCTACTATCAAAGTCAGCGAAAGCCTCGCAAGGGTGTGAAAAGTGAAGCGTTGCGTCAGCCAGGTAACCGATTAATCAAAGTGGCCCAAAGACGTCAACAAAATGTCTCCCTCATTGCTGAGAAATGCTTCGGGCGCAGTAATGGTTGCCATCTGCACTCGGCATCGATGCTCCACATCACAAATGCCGACTTTATTTTTTTTTAATTCCCTTCCCCATTAGCAAGCTGGGGTAGATGCGTTTGGCAGTAGTTTTCGGATGCTTGCTGTTGTGAGTCTGTCCAAGAAATAACAATTAAAAAGTTGATTGGGAAGTGTTTTTTTTTTTTTACAACCAGATTGATGCTTTTGTCCTTTTTATGAGGCCATTTTATCTGCCTGTTCAAAGATGCACTCGCAACCACCACACTTTTTTACTGGCCAGATTACCCAAGCGTGTCGCTCTTTGAACAATTAGGTACAGTGGCTGTAAAATGGCTACACACCCCTGCCTAAATGCCAGGTTTTTCTAATTTAAAAAATGAGGACAAAATTAATTAATTTCAAAAGTTCCCCCTCTATGGATGTGACTTAATAATTTTTATTATATTTGTGATTAGATTTTTAAATAAAGAATGAAAATAATGTTAAAATAAACAATTACAATAATGTGGTTGCACAAGTGTGCACATCCACTTATAAATGGCGACGTCGCTGTGTTCCTCACATGTACAAGTTAATTGGGAGTTGGCCCACGTGCCGACCGTATTTCAAGTGTCTCTGAGTAACCCCAAATAAAATTCAGCCAATTCAATTTATATATGCAGTGTAGATAATGTGTGTCACTGTGCAAAATTCACAGTTTGCGGCATACCTTCATTGGAGGATCACAGTTGACCTCGGGTGCGGTAACGGAACATAATATAAATTATAAAAGTGTTTTTTTGTGTGTTAACAGGAGCACATTTAATGCTATCTGGAAAAAAAAGAACTTTGCCAGTCAATAAAAAAAAATGCAATGAAAACAAAAACCAAAAAAAAACATATTTGGTGCTGTATAAGAATGTCAACCTTCTATTATTAGGAATGTGCAACATGATTAGTTTTTCTTCTTTTTCGGAAACAAATGCAAAAAAAAAAAAAAAAAAAGTTAACAATTGATCAGTTTGAATTGGATCACATTGCATATCATCCGTGAGTCACGATGCCAGAATCTGAGCCTCACTGTATTTGTTTACACTTCCTGTGACTTGACACGTTTGTGTTGCGGGGGAAAAAAATTCCAGGTGGTAGTACATGTATCATCAAAACCAAATCGACATATTTATACTCAACTAGGGTTGGATCAAACAACATTTTCTTTTAATTTAAGATTTTGAGTTGGAAACTGTCCATGAGAATTTAGTGAACAACGATTGGATGGGGACACACGCTTGTTTAGTTGTCACCACGCCGTCGAAAATCGTCCGTTGGCCCACTGCCCAATGAGATATCGCTGTGGCGCTTCCGCACGAGAGGAGGTCAGCAGTCTCGAGTTGTGCTGACCCAGTGGCAGACTTTTGAATAAGTCATACCGACCGGTGATGTCACGCTCACGGCACCCTTCAACTTGTTTACAGGTGTCGTTTTAGTTGCCTTCATTCCAAATCAGTGGCCTTGCTTCCTCTGCAGCCGTGTTGTTGCCCTGAAGAAAGATGGCCGCCCTTGCCTCCCCTCCTGACTCCGTTGCCACAGTAACCGCATCCCCATGTACTTGTGCTCTCCAGGTTACCCGTCGATCGTTCACGGGCGCGGGGTGAGGGCTCGCCTCATGAGGCTGCTCCCATGCACCGCCGCCAAGTCGCCGTCGGGCGCCGAACAAAGCAAGTGGCTCCTTCTCCGGCTCTCCTTCATTTCTTTTGTCAAAAATGCTTCGTGCAACTTAAGAGCTATCAATCACTGTCATGGCACCGCCATGTGACCTGAGTAAACTCCCGCCTCACATGCGACTTAAAACTTGGAAATTTAGACATTGTCAACAAGTTCATTAAGCGATTTGCTGATTAGAGACGTTTTCTTTTGACTTGTGGAGCTAACGCTTGGTAGCAGGTTTGAGAAGATTTTTGGCAAAATTACTCCAAGACACCCTTTTAAATGACCCAAAGTGAAACTAGCGTAGTACCGTATTTTCCGTACTATAAGGCGCACCTAAAATCATTCCATTTTCTCCAAAGCCGAGAGTGCGACTTATAATCCGATGCGCCTTCTATATGGATCAATATTCTGATTTCTTGGATGTACTATTTTAAATGTCCGGTTGTGAAAGCACAATAGAAACAAAGCTGTATTGTAATGTATTGTGTTGTGTTGTATTCCCTTCAGCGTAGCTCCATCTAGTGGATGCATAACGCAACCGCAGCCACTATTGTAGCTTCTATTCGATGCGCCTTATAATGCACTGCACCCTACATATGAAAACAATTTTAAAATAGGCCATTCATTGACGGTGCGCCTTGTACTCCGAAGCGCCTTATAGTGCGGAAAATACGGTAAGCGTTTTTTTTTTTTTTCTTTCTTCTTTTTTTGTGGATTTTCACGTTTCGGCTCATGGGTTCACAGACGCCATTTTGAGAATCACTGCACTAATTAATACTGTCACATCATCTCCTTTCTCTTTTCTTCAATCAGAATCAGAATCATCTTTATTGGCCAAGCATTTAGAACACACAAGGAATTTGTCCCCGGTATTATAGGCTCCATGAGTATTACAATTAACAAGCAACTATGATAAACAAAAGACATGACTTGTAAGTATCGACAGACTTTCCGTAATGTAAGGGGACCATTGTGAAATGATGGCAGGGTCGTCAAGCAGAGATAATGTGATCAGTGGTGCAATCCAATATTGTGACGGTTGCGCAGTTTGTGCGGGTAATCATCGCACCATTTTAATGTGACTAGTCGTAGTAATTGCAGTGCCGCTTTCGGTGTGCAATTATTCAGAAATTCCTTGAGCGTTTGAAAGTGGCTGGTGCTGGTCAAGCATGTAGAGAGCTGGCGCTACAATGATCAGTGCGCTAAGACCACGGGGGTGTGCGAAAAATGCAAAAAGCCACTAGAGATTTGAGTCACTGTTGAAAGAAGCGGAAAGAAGCAGTTTGAATGTCTGCTGGTTTTGGTGTTGACGTGTTGAAATGCGACTCCTCTGTAAACGTCGGCTGTACAGATGCCATGTGTGCTCTGCTGCCGATGTGTGTTGTGGAAATGAAGGTAATACCGGCTCCATTAGCGGCGCCACCTGTTTCCTGACGGGGAAAGGAGAGGCATCTGTTTCGGGTGCGGGTTTTAGTCATTCCAAATGGATAACCCACCTGACCAATTAATGGGGCACGTGCCCACAATGCAGAAATTGCGACAATAGAAGTGGATAGTCTTAAAAGTTGTGAGCTTAGCTCCGGTCCGTAGCCTCCCGGATTTGATGCGTGACCTCCGTCTTCCTCCTCCAGACAGCGTTGAAGATGAGCTGGAACTGTCAGCCGTGCGCCATCGGCCCGAAGGTCTGGGACAGCTGGAGGCGCAGACGCGCTTCTCCCGCAAGGAGCTGCAGATCCTCTACCGCGGCTTTAAGAACGTGAGTGACACGCCGCATCGGGCAGGCGAACCCAGAGTAGAGTTCTTGTTCGAAATACTGTTTCTTGCCTTTTAATGATTATTTGGCGTGGATGTCAGCTTATGCCATCAAATGACCTTGAAATATTTCCCAAATGTCCACGCTTAACTTTCCATGCGGGGCAGCCCGGTGGGCCAGTGGTTAGCGCGTCGACCTCACAGTGCAGGGGTACCGGGTTCAATTCCAGCTCCGGCTGGTTGTTCGTATCTGTGTGTGCCCTACGATTGGCTGGCAACCGGTTCAGGGTGTCCCCCGCCTACTGCCCAAAGATGGCTGGGATAGGCTCCAGCACTCCCCGCCACCCTTGTGAGGATAAAGCTGATCGGAAAATGAATGAACTTTCCATGCAAATTTCCCAGAAACGTTCCGCCCCTTTGCAACACTATTCGGCGCGCCTCCTTGGCAGTCCGAGTCCAATGGGGCTACTTGAGTCACCGGAGGCCACCAGCGGAATAATGCCAGACATTTAAGTGCCCGGTGGTTTAAAACAAGCTGGCATCATGAAGGAAAACTGAGCCGTTTGTCCTTGGGCAAAGACAAATAAAGTGCCTCCAACTCATGTGGCAGATTAAGGTCGTTTGTCCAGACTGTCATTTTAGGTGCTCCAGCAGGGTCTGAATAAAGCCCCCGAAGGTTTTGACGTGACCACGGATGACTCCCGCGGTGTCATACGGCGTTGCAGTCTCGTGCGGTTGACCTGGGGCACTGCCCCAGGCGAGAAGTTAAAGTCCAATCGAGCGCTCCCCACTTGATTTCCTTTCATTTGCATTTCCCGATTTCTTGATGGGGCCTCGGGAAGGAATTTCACACCCCGCTGGCTTTGCGCCGTACTCGTGTTCACGGATAAGCAAACGTTACGAGCGTATCTAATAAATATAAATATATATATATATATATACACACACACACACACACACACACACACACACACACACAAACACACACACACAAACACAAACAAACACACAG